CTTACCTGCTATGTTTCGTGTGGGAACTTACCAAGCCCCATTTATATAACATAAGTAAAATAGTTATAGATAAAAAAAAGAATAAATAGGTAGTTTGACATTTTAATAATACGTTTGGTAATAAAACGTTAATACATTTAAATGAAAATAATCACAAAAATAATATTATTCGAAGCAATATTATATTACACTATATACCTACCTATAGCTCTTAAAATATGAAAAAAATTATTTTTATGAATTTGTCTACACTCCACTTATACTGTACAAATAGTGTTCGAAAATGATTAATTTAAAAACATAATATTTATAATATCATTATTTATTATGCACCGATTATAACTTATAAGAAATTATATAAGTACATTCATGTGTTTCTGGTTACTATAATGTTATTGCATTAGACCGATAACGATTAAAATACTATTTCGTTCATAAGTATAGACGATTGAATACACCCATAAAAAAAGCACTTAATATAAATGATAAAAGCAGAAATGAATTAGATACTAACCTGTCGACGACGTCGGGTCTAGACGGTGGTTCTTTAATCACCATGTTATTATTATTAATAAAGAATTTGATTAATTAAAAAACAATACAGAACGCACCTGACATGGTAAAAAAATTAAATGAACCTAATATACCATTTCTTCTGTCCAGTAACTATACCAGCATATTACTATTACTTAAGGTACAACAATAATTATTATACCACTATTATTAGTCACTATACTACAATAACTACACCGTCGAAATTTTATATTGTTATGATTGCAGTTATATTATTGTTATTATTTTTTGTTACTGTTATAACCACAAACACTGTAAGATCGGCAAATATCGAAACGCTTACGCGGTATATATATAAATCTATATGTAGGTATTTAATATAGGTATCATTCGTGCCGAAATCAGAGTTTCGTCACCGAGCGAACAACGTACCACTCTGCTGTGTTRTAGGCACTAGGCACATGCAGACACCGCGCGAACCACACATTTCAGCGAATGATTACTGCACAATGAGCAGAGTCTTACTGCCTACCTGTAGCCGATGGTACAGCCGGTACAGGTACATACGACTATTATAGTTGTTCCAAATCGTCGCGCACCTGTGCGCATGCTCTTTACCAAGACTTAATGTTTTTATTATTATTATTATTATTATTATTATTTTTATTTTTATTGTTAAATTTTACTTTTATACAATATAGACTAGTATATAATGTACAATATGATTAAATGCGCTCAAATGTTTTCTACTACTATAGTATACTACTACATCACCACTACTACTACTACTAATAATAACGAATAATTATGAAATGGGGCTTTAAATAATGTATACAGATAATGTAGGTAGCTTTTTTTATTTCTTTTTAATTCAGAAAGTTATAATTTTTCCAAATTTGCATTACTCGCATATTATTATATCCATTTTGAACATCTAGTCAAATAAAC